TCATGATTGAGTTAATAGGTATATTGTACCACTCTTTCTGTTCTGACGATTAGTAGGTAAAGGATTTGGTTTTCCAAAAGCTTTTTCAAACATAGTAAGTATGTCAAATTTATCTTTAGCTTGATAAATAATGTCATCTGTGATTTGAGAAACGTCGTCAACACGGTCATCTTCATCTGAGGATGCATTTGATGAATAATCTTCTTCACTACTAAAAAAGAAATCTTCTTGGTTGTTGCCTTCATAGTCTCCTGTTTATATTGGAAAAAAATTTTAAAAATATGAATCTTTATAAGATTTTTAAAACATGATAAAGGTCTTACCTTGTGAGGAAGCTTCATAATTTGAAAAATCAGCATCTTCATCTGTATCTGAACTGTTACCATTATCTTCTACATAACTCTGATGAGAGTGAAGGAGATCATCATAAAACTTATTGTTTTGTATTGATGATCCGGATCCTCTTGTTGTAACTGTGGACAAATACCAAATGATATATCCATATATCAATTTCTCATAGATATTTTCGTGTATCTCTTAAGCATTACCATTTACATGAATTATGTGATATTGTACTAATTCTGACATATAACCTGATAAATTTCCTTTGAATCTTTTATTGGCAGAAGATGCAGGAGGATAATCATCATTATGCATATAAGAAGATTGACTCAACAGAGGAGAGTCATTGATTTGAGTTGAGGTAATCTGGGAAGTATTGGATTTAGTACCTGACTCATTAAATACTGTTTATAGAATTAGCTCTCTATATTATGTCAAAAAAATGAAATAGATTGTAACCATACTTCTAACAGAAATATTCTTACTTACAAGAAATAGGTGAGATATTTCTTGACCTCTTTGCATTAGGGTTATGATAAGGAGTGCTTATCTGATTAAATTTTTCTATTGCAGTTCCTGACAATGGTGTTCTTTGGTCAGATGGTGATTGTCCAGATGTAATGCGTGGTGAGTTAGATATGTCTCCCAAAACTCTTCTAAATACTGAATTGACTACAACATTATTGCTGATATTGCTTTCTCCTGAACCTGGAACATTGTTTTCATCGAGTATAGTAGATGATGGTCTTATTCTAACAGGAGTTTGAGTGACATCATGATCAATTTGACCCCTTGCTTCTTTCTTCTTCCTCATGAAAATGTGATTTCCTGAGGAAAAAATAGGATAGATCGTAACACATATGTGATGACATACAAAATTTGTAGGAATATAACTGTAGATGTTGGAAAGTATAACTTCTATGCTCTGTTTTACCTTATCAAACTCTTGAATGTGTTCCGTAGTATAAGAATATAACAAAGCGAGTTTTTTGACTGTATGAGAATTTATGCATCTGAGTTGGAGAATGACTAAAGCTTGGATAAATACTATTGTACCAGATATGAGAATAAAATCTTGTTAGATATGTCGATATATTCAATATCTGAAACTATCTTTAAAAAAAATTGAGTAATTTAAGATTCTTTATAAGTAATTAGTAACTAAATTCTATACTATCATGATTGAGAGGATATACTAAATGAGAAGATCAAACAACAGGAAGCAATAATCTCGGAGCATCACTGGCTTATTATTCAGGTCAGTATCATTCAGAATGATCCGCTTATAGTAAATTTTGATCGATATAATCTAACGTTCTCTGAAATCAATAAAACATAATTAAGAAAAAAGGAAATATATTATTCCATAGCTTGTGCTAATAGCACATTTAATATTAAGTTTTACAAAGCAAACATAAATGAAAAGCAAGATAAAATAAAAGGATTTTGGTCTAATGTGCCATATACTGTAGCAAAACTTACAGAAATTGCCACAAAACATTTGTTTTTCCAAATGTGCCATAATGGTAGACAAGACTTTGAAACGAAAATTTTTGGTAGACAAGAAATGTTGTCCATCTTTGAAACAACAGATTGGGAAGATATTTGGTGGACAAAAAATCTTGTCCACCTTTGAAACAACAGACTTTTGGTGGACAATAATTCGAAACAGCATACAAAATTTTTGGTAGACAAGAAATGTTGTCCACCATTATGGCACATTTGGAAAGATTTATGTTTTGTGGCAATTTTGCTAAGTTTTTGAACAGTAAGTGGCACATTAGTTAGATTTCTCTAAAATAAAACATAGGGGGAATATTCAGAAAACAATCCACTAAGAATTGATGTATTAGTTTGAATCAACTTCTTCCATAAAAACATCGTCATCATCTGAGGGTGTGAATTCATCATCTCCCTGAGTGTAACACTTTCTGTGAATCCAAAATACAACTAAAATCGGAATCTAACAATTTGAGTATAAGTTTAGGTAAATTGAATCTATTATAGCGAAGGAAAACATGAATTGCTGTCTGTTGATGTCATGGAAATTTGGATCAAAGAAAATCCTTGGACAACCTACACCAGTAATCAAGCAAGGTTTACCTATAAAACAGAGAAATTCAAAAATCAGTTCCATAACCAAATGCTTGGCTATCTAAACTGTCACATACTTTTATAATTAGTTGTAGAAAATCACCTTGAAACACTGAAATCCTCCAAAATCGCAGAATGATTGGTTCATTGTGATAATCCACATCACTTAGGGTCTGATTGGCAATTGCTTTAGAGTCTTTACAAAGCAAAAAAATTTCTAAAGATTTGAAATACATCCAATCAAGCTTTAGAAGCTTTGGCTTTCCTTTTTTTCCTCACAGCCAAAATATTTCCTTAATTCATTTTTTTGGCTGTAGAAAGCCTTTTTTTCTAAAGCACATAATTTTCAACTTTCCAAAATTTTAAATTTCACAGCCAAAATACTACAGCACTAAAATCTACAGCCACAGCAAATAAACCTACAATCATATTTCTACAGCAACAAATGTAAAGCTACAGCTGTTACCAATCAGGCCCTTATTCTTCTAGAATACTTCCTTACAAATTCTTCACAGAAATTTCCTTTTGCCACACAATTCAAGTAATGACCACTACATGTAATGATACAATGTATAATCACAGGCTCATATGTAATAAGACTGTTAACTAATACATACATATTTTTCAAAGCACGTAATAGCATTGTAAAACTGTACTTACATAGTATCCTTCAGTGTGAAAGTAACATATCTTGAATCCATATCACTTCCACCTTCCAGAAGTCTTCCAACAGGAGAGACACTGACAACCACTCCACATACATCTAAATATGGCAAGAATCAATCATTAGTATATAGATGATCTATTAAAATTAACTAAAAATGGTTGCCAATATAAAACAGAAACTTACCAACAACAAATTCTTTGTCTTCTTCTGATGCATTATTGATACTGAAAAAATCTACACAATTAAAAAATTCGGATTGTGATTTTGGTCTGACAGGATCTACCTCTGTGTTCCTATTACAGCTAATCTGGTAAAAATGATTAGAGTTCCTTTCAGGCAATGAAGGAGGAATCACATCAAATTCCGACAAAAGGTACCATTGTCCTTCGTTGAGCTCTCTAGGGAAGTTCCTTTTGATTGCAATTGTAGGAACCGTAGCATCAATTCTTTGTCCCTTATAAAGAAAATGATAATAAGTTAAGTTTCCTTTATCATTATCAGCACAAAGAGAAAATATATAACATTATTAGCGCAAAGAGAAAACAATATATACCGTTTCATCCACAAGAATCATAGTTGTCTGATCATTAGGATGTTTAGGAGGATTATTCCAGATGCTTAAGACCTTAACAAAAACCAGCCATTTCTTCTTCCTTCGATTTAAATCAGAAAAAAGCACTGCCATGATCAGCGAAGTAGATTAGGATGAAAACCTCTCTAACTGGTGTGCTTTTTGTTTCTAAGAAATGAGCGATTTGAGTGTGATATTATAGTGAAGTATAGATGTATTTATATACAGGTTATGAATGGAGTGAAAACCTATAGCATTGTGTCCAATTTACTAAATAAAAGTAAACAGAATGATGTTTTAATAAAAGTAAAGTGTAACAAATAATATATCACTATGTAAAAACCAGTTGTAAAACATGACCATAGCATATGATTGATATATTGACTGATATAACAGCTTTTTTGTTTTTCAAGATTCATGTCTTTGTCTTACCTCTAAGAAGCTTGAATTTTGACCAGATATAACAGCTTTTAATGGTTTTCGTGCCTATTTTGTGTTTGCTTATTCAGATACATTTAAATGTTGTAAGAGTGATGCTAATAGACAAAACCCGTGAATTGGAAAACAAAGCAAGTGGCCTATTTCACATCCAACACAAATACCAAACAATGGAAATAAATATCAGAACATATATTAGTTATTGGTATTTTAGGATTTCCTGTTTGGTTGTCATGTAAAACAATTAAATCTGGTAAGACTGATGGGGGGATTAACGAAAATAATTGCATGAGTCAACAGGAAATTTATTGGCTGTTTATTTCCTATAGGATTCATACCAGTATGTTGACAATCAGATAATTTGACTGGAAATTAAAGCTTATGCATTTACAATTATAAAATAGGCTTTGTTGGATTAGGATTTAAGTTTTCATGTTATGTATATGCCATTGTAGATAGTTTTTATATCATAAAGTACCATGTACATAATATTTTTAATTTTCTGTACTATTTGTAGATATTCTCACTAACTTTTAAAATACTTGAGTAAGTTAACATTCTTTAGAAGTAGTTAATAACTAAATTATATACTTTCATGATTGACAGGATATATTATGATAAGAATATCAAACAATAGGGAGCAAGGATCTCGGATCATCAACCTATTATTGAGGTTAGTGTCATTCAGAAGGATCAATTTATAGTAAATTTTGCTCAATATAAAAAATTCTTTCTGTTCTCTGAAATTTAAAAACATTATTAACATAAAAAAAAAAAGATATTCCATAGCTTGTGCTAGATAATAGCACAATTAAAAAAAAAAGATATTCCATGCTTTCTTTTATACAGAAAGCTTACTAATTAAGCAAAATAAAAGTAAAACTCAGATAAGCAAAATAAAAAACAACTGAACATAAGAGTCTAATTTTACAAATACGGGAATAGCACATTGCTTAAAAAAAGTTAACAAAACAAAGCATTAAAGGATGTCCAAGATAGAATATAACATAGGAGGAATTTTCTTGATCCCATCCACACAGCTACAAATCTTAGTTAGAATCACCGTCTTCATCAGAAACATTGTCATTATCTGTGGATGCTGTCTCTTTATTTCCAGCAGTGAAAAAGCAGCTACGAAAATAAATATAACTAACATAAGAATATAAAAACTTATGTATAAATAAACCAATTTAAATTTCATATATACTGTGGAAATACATGTAGCAGTCTCTGTTAATGTCACTGAAATTTTCATCGATGAACATTCTTGGACAACCTCCTTTCGTAATCAAGCAAGGTTTACCTAAAAACACACAAAAAATACCATAATTAGTATGTACTGAAATTTGTTGGCTATATAAAGAGTCAAATATGGATTACGAATCTTAAAATTAGTTTGGAGAACATCACCTCCAAACTCTGATATCCTCCAAAAACGCAGAACAACCATGATTGGTTGATTGTGATAATTCACATCACTTATTCTTCTAGAATACGTCCTAACAAATTCTTCACAGAAACTTCCTTTTGCAACACAATTAATGGAATGGCCACTACATGTAATGATACATAATAAAAATATAATGACACTTTTGAAAATCTGATAACTAATACAACTCATATAGACGTAGACTATATTGATTTTCCAATAAAACTTACGCAAGGTCCTTTAATGTGAAAGTAACATAGTTTGAATTCAAATCACTTCTTCCTTCAAGTAGTCTTCCAATAGGAGAGACACTCCTAACCACTCCAAAAATATGGGAATAAGTAAAAAATTAGGCTATAGGATGATTCCAAATGCTCAAGATCTTAACAACTACAAACCAAAATCATAGTAGTGTGATCGTTGGGATGCTTGGGAGGATGATTCCAAATGCTCAAGATCTTAACAACTACAAACCATTCCTTCTTCTCAAGAGTTAAATCAGTTAAAAAATTATTCATTTGGAAAAGATTAGAGTAATCGTCTGAAAAGGATGAAAGCTGATGATTTTTTGTTTGTGGAAACTCTTGGGAGAACTTGAGTGTGATACATGTAGAAATCAATATATGTATTTATACACATCTTGAAAAGGCCAAACCTATAGCATGACCAATAGAAACAATTTAGAAAAGCCAAAAAAATCATTTTTATATATTACTAAATTAGAGAAAACAAAAACTTTATATGTGACAACCAATTTGCAAAACTTGACCATTGCATATGATTGATGTATTGACACAAGTTAACAGCTTTTTTGGTTTTCAAAGTTACTGTGTTTCTATGACATCTCAGAAAGAAACTTTAATTTGATGATAAAATGCAGCTTTTTTGAAATTTGAACTTTTGACTATAGTTAATATCACGGACCTTTAAAGTTCATATGATCTTATATGCATCCTGAAATGAGAAAGATTATTTGGTTAACAAAAAAAAAACTATTCAGTAACTTATATAAATTGTAACATACTGACATTAAAGGTCCATCATATTCACGAATGATATAAGTTCTTAACAATGCAAATAACTTTTGGCAAAGTACATTTAAACATATAGTAAAGTCTCTGGGAATCTTAAAATTTAAAGATAGTCAAATAACAAAAAACAAAAAGAGATAACAGGAATATATCAAAGTACAAACAAACTGATAAAACAGATGATTCAATTTTATCCTCCTAGCTTTGTCTTAGTTAGAATCCACTTCCTCCATCTGATCATCATTTGCCTTGGCGATTGCAAATGATCGACTAAATTATAAAAAGCAAAGAGGAAATATTAGTTATCTTAATCTCCTGCTAATTAAAATATAAGAAAACCATAAAGTATGAAATTACATGTATCTGTAGATATCGAAATCTGGAAATTGTTCATCAATAAAAACCCTTGAACAGCCAGCTACACTCATTAAGCAAGGTGACCTTATAGAGGAATAAACAAAAAGAGTTTTAGATTAAATAAATATGCATATATAGTTTTTGATCAAATTAATAGAAATAATGTAATTCAATATAGTTAAGCACCTTTTATTTCGGAGATCCTCCAGAATCGCATAACAGCCACGATAGGATCATTGTTGTATCTAGGAGAACTTAAACGTGTAGACAATTTGTTAACAAACAGCTCACAAGACTCTCCAACTGCAACACATATCATCTTTTTGCCACTAAAAATATAAATAACATAGAGATTATTCAGGTTAATACAATCTAGCTTCATAAAATAATCATGTAACACTAAACATAATAAACAAAAAAGCAAAACTTACTCATTGTCCTTAATCTTGAACATCACATGTCTTGCTTCATAATCGGTTTGTCCTATACCACAGACAAAAGACACTGTTCGAATGGGAGACACTTGTTATCAAACCAATAGCATCTACACAGGAAAACAAATATATTCAGATTAATGGCTCTTGACAATATATCTTAATTATGTATATAGAACTTACCAGTTACATGCTCCTTTTCTTGTGTTCCAGCATATTTGATTTCATCATAATCAATGAAATCCATGTAATTGTTGATTGATCTAGGAGTTATGTGAACCATTTTTGTTTCTCACTTACATTGAATCATGAAAGGGTGCCAAGAGTATCTAGAAATGGGATTTTAGGGAACAACGTTGAAATGAGACATGAAGTACCATTCACATTCTTTGAGATTCTTTTTGAAATTGTGTCTGTATAGACCATTTGGGATTACAGCATCAATTCTGTTTCCCCACATTCTGTTTCCCTACATTCGATGTAAAAACGTCATTTTAAAAAAAAAAAAATTTAACATTACATTCAAAAAAGAAATACCAATTTTCTTAATTTCTTTCATGTCAACAAACAATTACGATGCTTTATTTTATTTCATTTTCTTGACACCGAGTATGATGCTTCTTATTAAATTAGCAAAAAAAAAAAAACCATACATTATTATAAACAAATGATCCTAGTGGAAGCCCCCTTGGCCCATTGGTTGACTAAGGGTTAATTAATGCTTCTACACCAAGAGGTCTGGGGTTCGAGTCCCAGATATTGCGATTTATTAATAAATTTGCAGATTAAAGGAGGCAACTGTGCAGGAGATCTCCAGCGAAGTACAATTATAGCCGTTCGCCAGGATTCTACGCAAAGAGGGAAGTGTCGTCAGGTCGTGGATCATTGAAGGTGTCCGTCAAGAGCATGGAGAAGGAAGTGTCGTCTGTCGTGGATCTAATAAGGGTCGGAAGGAATTGTCCGTTGTAGAATCGTCTATGTAACAGTTCTCATAATTTGCAATAAATAATAAATCTAGACGTCAAAAAAAAAAAACAAATCTATACTAGTATTATTATTATATTTTTTGGATTTAGAAACGACGAAGGGGTTATTTTCAGGCGTCAGCATTCGACGCGCTCGACGTTAAGGAGATGATCAACGTTCATATATTATCCAATTGACGAAAATGTGTGTTCAACGTTCTACATCGATTAAAATATTTAGACAATGATTCAGAATCATATCATAAATAAGAACATTAATAAAATAAATGAGTTTTTTGGCGGGATGGGTTTGGCGGGACGGGTTTTTGAATCAACAATAATAAAAAGATTAAAATATCATTAATCCGCCGCTTCAATACGGATTTAATCCTTATATGGCAGACGAATTTGAATCAATATTTATATACCGCTTTAATACGGGTTAAATCCTTAGTTTATTAATAATTATCTCGTGGACTCGTGGTATACCGTTACTTAATAACAATTGTAAACTATAATATAAATAAATATGTTATAAGGAGATACAATTTACAAAATATTTTTATACTAACTTTAAAATTAAATCATCCCGCGGTGTACCGCGGATTAAAATCTAGTGATCTTAGTATTATTATATCATACCGAACTAATCATCAAGTAGAATAATCATTAACAAAAATTTGCACTTTTTCTTTTTGGTAGATCCATCATAATACAATGCTAATGTCTCAATAATACATATAAAGGCAGTGAATGGTGACTTAATGGCGGTGCGGTTTCCAAGCACTTTTTGAATAACGTACATATGTTCTCCAATCAAGCTAACTATAATAAATTTGCGTTTTTTTAAAATAAACAAAAAAAACCAAATTGCGTTATTGACCAGCAAATAAAGCAACAGACCGCTTTCATAATTAGAAGCATGTTTTACGTAGAGGTCCAACAAAAAAACGCACCATGTAATACACATATTTTTTTTTGATTTTTTTTTTGTTAATATATATATATTCATGCAAAACGAAAATATATACTCTTCCTCACTCACAGTATCTCTCACTATCTCTCTTCTCAGATTTGTGTTGTTTTATATTCTTTTCTTTTATATCGTTTTTATTTTTGTAGTTTTAGTTTTCTTTTGAATAGTTATTTTCTACAAACAGAAAAATACACATGATTCATAATATAATTTACAATATTATAGTTAATTAAATCGATTTAGAGTTAAAAATTGACTTTAAAGTTATTTATATGTTAAATGTTTTAAATAATTGTCTTATATGTAAACTAGATTTATTTAAATTTTAACTAAAAATTGATCAATGAATATATGAAATTATTAAAATTGATATACACTTTCATGATTTTATTAAAAACACACACCATATATATATATACTATAAAGTAAAGTAAAAATATCTTAACTATATTTTCTAAAAATCATATATGAATTCCGCAAATTATTTTTTCACCAATCAAATATTATTTCGTACCGCTTATTTTACAAAATCGCACTTATTCCGCAAATACGTTTCTCCCGCACGTACCGCAGTTGAACCGTACCGAACTATAAAACCGATTTTCCCGCACGATCAAATACGCTGTTACCATTCGGACCAAAAGTCTCTCTCTCATCATATATATTGCCAAAGACTGTGGCACGCAGCCCTAAGCCCTCTCCATCATCTCCGACGTCAGATTCTTCATGATCCATCAACCATGTATTTAGCCAGAGCTGCTTCTTCTTCTTCCTCTCGCTCTCTTCTCTTCTCCTTCCGCTCTTCCTTCCCTTCTTCTTCCTTCAGATCTCCTCCTGTCTCTTCTCATCTTCTTCGCCGCTCTTTCGTCACCTCTCTCCCTCGTTTGAGCCACTCGAAACCTTTTCCACTTCGCATCGGTTCTCAGATCAGAGCCGTTTCTCCTGTTTTAGACCGTCTCCAGAGAACTTTCTCTTCCATGGGTAATTTCAATTTTCTCTCTTTTAAAGGTTTTGCAAATGGAGAATCAGAAATGATGTTTTTTTTTTCTGAGTGTTGTTTCAGCTTCAGAGCATCCGTACAAAGGAATCTTCACCACTCTTCCTAAGCCTGGTGGTGGCGAATTCGGAAAATTCTACAGCTTACCTGCTCTCAATGATCCTCGCATTGGTAAGAGATTATTAGCTCAATCTAGGCTCTTGCCGTGAAGTATGAGGATTAGGTTTAATGTTTTATCTGGTTTTGATGCAGATAAGCTTCCTTACTCTATTAGGATTCTTCTTGAATCTGCGATTCGTAACTGTGATAACTTCCAAGTCACTAAGGAAGATGTTGAGAAGATTATTGATTGGGAAAACACTGCTCCTAAACTAGTCGAGATTCCTTTCAAACCTGCTCGTGTTCTTCTCCAGGTACACTTTTGGTGATCTTGTTTAAATTATGCAATTTTTAGATGGTTTTTCTAATCTTTTTGCAACTTATGTTTATGCAGGACTTTACTGGGGTACCAGCTGTTGTTGATCTTGCTTGTATGCGTGATGCTATGAATAAACTGGGGAGTGATTCCAATAAGATCAATCCATTGGTACATTTCTTGCTTAACCAGCTGATTCTTCTGTTTTATCTTATGTGTTCTAGTTTTCTTACTTGCACCATTATGTCTTCCAGGTTCCGGTGGATCTTGTAATTGATCACTCAGTTCAAGTTGATGTTGCAAGATCTGAGAATGCAGTTCAAGCCAACATGGAGCTTGAATTCCAGAGGAATAAGGAGAGGTTCGCTTTCCTTAAATGGGGTTCTACTGCTTTTCAAAACATGCTTGTTGTGCCCCCTGGTTCTGGTATTGTGCATCAGGTGAGCTTGCTATGCTAATATCTTGGTTCATCTTGAAACTTGTCTAGCTTTTTGTAGCTTTCATCTGGTATTAATTCAGTCTGGATATTAAAATTCAGGTTAACTTGGAATATCTGGGAAGAGTTGTGTTCAATACCAAAGGTCTTCTCTACCCGGACAGTGTGGTTGGAACTGACTCACATACAACTATGATTGATGGGTTGGGAGTTGCTGGATGGGGGGTTGGAGGCATTGAAGCTGAGGCGACAATGCTTGGCCAGGTAAAGTATTTATTTCTCACTTTTGACTATATCCCATTTATTTATTTTTTGTCGAACATTCTACCCCATCTAATGTTGGTGAATTTGGAGGCTAGTTTCCTGAATTTATGTCAGATGCTAAGGTCACTTTGTGTCATTAGTTGTCTGCTTCAATATATCAATTTGTTAGTTCATCCAACCTTGCTTTTACTGATGATTTTTCTGTTTTAACAGCCCATGAGTATGGTATTGCCTGGTGTTGTTGGATTCAATCTGTCGGGAAAATTACGTAATGGTGTTACTGCTACTGATTTGGTTTTAACTGTGACCCAAATACTGAGGAAACATGGTGTTGTTGGCAAGTTTGTTGAGTTTTATGGTAAAGTCTTTTTCCGATTAAACTCTTGGAAATGTTTCCCGTAAGTTTGGTATACTTGTGTTTGTTGGCCCCAATATGTTAAGTCTTTTCTTTTTTGGCTTTAGGTGATGGTATGAGTGAACTGTCCCTGGCTGACAGGGCCACAATTGCCAATATGTCTCCTGAGTATGGTGCAACCATGGGGTTCTTTCCTGTCGATCATGTTACTCTACAGTATCTTAAATTGACTGGAAGAAGCGATGAGACGGTGAGTATTTGTCCTCAATTCTCGTGTTGCATATTTTCAGGACTCTGAGCTGACATAATTCTTCTTTGTGTGCAGGTTGCCATGATTGAAGCATATCTTCGGGCAAATAATATGTTTGTTGACTACAGTGAGGTATGACCTTATCTTTTTATGTCTTGGATTTTTATCTTTATATTTTGCTTCTGGTTGTTAATTGACTTCTTCTGCTTTTTGAATAAATTCAGCCTCAGCAAGAGCGTGTTTACTCATCTTATCTGGAATTAAATCTGGATAGTGTTGAACCTTGCATTTCCGGACCTAAGAGGTATGAGCTCTGTTGGTTTGTTAACCACTAAGTATTCTATTTGATTGATGGACTACTATAATGATATTCTTATCTGTTCACAGGCCACATGATCGTGTTCCTCTAAAAGAAATGAAAGCTGACTGGCACTCATGTTTAGACAGTAATGTTGGGTTCAAGGTAAGCAATTATACTTGGTATATGGAGGTCTATTTTTGTTTAGCATCCATTTGATTTAAACTTGCTGTGGAGGCACTTGGTGGGTGCTACTTTCTTGATTGGATGTGTACATTCTTCTTGGCAGGGTTTCGCCATACCTAAGGAGGCGCAAGAGAAGGTAGT